AAGCGCCGGGCCTCGGGTTGGCGGCGGGGCCCCACAGGCCGCGGGGGGCCTCCGGCGGGGCACGGTGACAGCCCCCAGGCCCCGCACCGCCGGCCCGGGCGTCGCAGCCTGTCAGCCTCGGGGCCGCGGCCTCCCCCGCCGCGACCTGCCAGGGCCGCAGGGCCCTCACCGGCCGGCCCCCTAGAGATCACCCTTAAAAGCTGCTGTCACCGAGAAAACGGCCCCAAAGCGCACGATGCAACGCGTTCCTCCCATTTCCAGTTCCACCCGGTTCTCCTTCAGCCCTGGGGAAGCCACGGCGAGAGCAAGGCTGTCCCTTGCCTGGCAAATCAAAGGTCTAATTTAATCTATTCCTGGGGAAGACGTAGGCTCGGGAAGCCACGGGGAGTTCCTCCAGCACAGATTAGAATTTGAAATAAAGAGCTGTAAACAGAACAAACCTGATCTTGCACTGGTTCCAGAGCGACTCTCCTCCAAGTCGGCTGCGTGTTGCTTTCCCATAACAATATTTGAATACTAAAGAAATAAGATTGCAAAATAACATGTTAATAAGTAAGTATGGGTTAAAAAGGAGATAAGAAATCAGAGATTTGGCTTTAAATGTCCTAGCCTTTCAGCTATTATTCTGTAGCCCTAGCTGAGATTTGCCAGGGACCAGGGTGACGTCTATAAGCAGATTTCTGACTGGTGGTGCCACGCAGCCCGCAGCAGGGCCCGAGCGTGCAAGCGTTGGTACGTGCTAAGAGAAGCAGTGCTTTCTCCTCATTTGAGAGGACTTAGCATGCGTTCATGTAATGTCACATGGGTCTCTTTCTGTTTCCATATGAGTATGGCTGGTGGCTGATAGGAAAATGGCATTGCATGGTCTTGGGAAAGTTTAAAAAATCCATACAAGACTGTAATGGTAACATCACTTTATTGTGACTTCCGACCTGTATTATCAAAACATTGCAATTGTAATCATAGCCACATCTAAACTTATGTATTTTTACTTTCTTCCCATCTAGTACTGTTGATTTCATCGGAAGCTGCTATTTTACCGAGATCTGCAAATGCAAACTGAAGAACATTGCGTGTTTAAAGTGGTAAGAATGCCATTCAATGACACTAACACCTCCTCAAGCACGCCACAATACTGTTTAATCTTCTCATTGTAGACTACCGCAGTGCAAGAGTTAAGGGATGAATGAACAGATTGCATACTCTATTTCAAATTTAATGCTGCTTGATAGAAACTCAGCCCACTACTTCTGGGCATGGCTGCCAGTCTATTTCTGTGCAAGTCCCAAGTGGAAATGTGACAACCTTGTCAGTAGTCTGAGTATATGGGAAAGCTTGCGTGCCACCTGCCTGATTAAATGTCTGCTTCAACACTGAGATAATTGTGTGAATAAGGCCGCCGTAAGAAGTAGTTACTCATATTCTAATTAATAGAACATCCTCTTGGCAGATCTAGTTGTTGCTAGCAGATGGAACATGCTGTCACTAAAGTTCTTGGAGTTCTTTTATCCTCTTTATTAATGCCTGATATTTAAAAGTAAAAACAACAACTCTCAAATAGCTCACAGTTATTTGAGACGATCCTTTCAGCTTCATAATCAAGATTTTTACCTTGTTCAGATTTAAACAGTGGGGAGTTGTGATAGGAATACAGTATTTTATTTAGACAGGAGTAGAGAAACAGAAATATCTCACCAGAGCGCATGACTGAGAAAGTAGGAAAATGGTTGTTCTAGGTTTCAATCTAGGAGAGTAGATAAGGCTTCAATATTCTCAGTCTCATTGCTCCTACTACTGATCCTCTCCCGTGCACAGAGCTTCTGTACAGATGGATTTTATGTGCGTGAGGAACTGCATTGATTCCAATGGAATCCCAGGCCTTCCAAAAAAAAAAAAATAAAAACACACCACCATTTGTTGGTATGTAAACTAATCTGGATTACACAATTTAGGTTACTTAACTGTTCTCTATGCCAAAGATCTAAAACTTAGATATTCTGTAACTCCTGACAGATGTTCCCTAAATATTTAAGAAGCTTGTTTAACTATGTTCCCTTAACTTTACCGAAATAGGAGCATTACATAATGGTCTGGTACCGTGGCTACTTAATATTAGTTTGAGCTGGAAAAGCCAACAACATCTATCTTTTCATCAGGCATTTGTGTTGCTCATTATTTCACTTGTCTTTCTAGTGGTAACATTGTCGGTTATCATGTGATTTCTCCCTGCAAACCTTGCCTGCTGTCCTGTAATAACGGCCACTTCTGGATGTTTCATAGCCAAGCAGTCTTTGGCATCAACAGACTAGACCCTTCTGGTAAGGAACACATATGTTTCCTTCTCTTCCCTAAACCCTTGAATTCTAAGTCCTCCTTCTAATGAGGCATCTCAATATAGCTAAAGCATATGGAGGGAGCGTAACATATGGAGGCTTAAGGCAAGCGTTACTGTATTGCTAATCTAGCAAACTACTTGGCGGGGAGGAGCTGTAGCTACTTTGTAAATGAAAATTTATCTTCATCAGAGAACTTAACCTACCCCTTTGTGGACAGAAGTCAGGATTTTCTGAAGCAATATTCTAACTAGTATAAACACAGCCACCAGCTGCTATTTAGAGCGGTATGTATAGCTTAACTGTGCTATTAGGCAGCTGTCCAACGGGCACTCTTTTTGGGTGAGTCATGTTGTCACTTTGACCCTATATAACTGAGACCTCGTTAGCTCAAGCTGAAGTTACAGCTCATGCTAGCTAGTTTCTTCAGCGAGGTGGTGTTTGGATGCCAAGTGTCTAGCATAATTTGCCTTGAGTCCTCAGGAACGCATAGCAATCTGACAAATCATTTCTCCTCCTTGCAGATGGGAGTAACTGATTGTCTAAACCTTTCAGTGTCACCTGTGTTTCAGATCAATGCATTTAAAAATAAATCAGCCATGAGGGGATTATCAATAGCTACGTGAATTAGCTATATAAATACATCTGTGGGCAGGGACTTATTCTTTGAACTATGCCGTAAACAACACTTACAAGATCACTTTAGAAGAAAAATAGGAAATAGTCTAGATATTTTTATCATGAACGTGACTTACCAGGTTTTGCAATGATTAGAGTAGTTATTTTCTCTGAAAATAGACAGTTGCGCAACTTAATAAGGTCACAATCCAAAAATACTTTTTTTTTTCTTCTTCTTCCTTTGTCATCTTACCTCCTTCCCACCAGGTGTGAATGTATTGCTCTGGGGCAACTTGCCAGATTTGGAGGAAAGCACAGATGAAGATATGTCCTGCATCTCTGAGGAGGAGTATATCAGATAACATTTATCTGTAATATACTACAGTATCTTCCCTAGATTTGTTGCGTTGCTGTTTGGTTGGGATTTTTTTTTTTTTTTTCCTGATGGCCCATCAGAGCTTAAACAATACAGGAAACCAGGAAATCTGGAAAACAATCCTAAAAAAGATTTTTCCTCTTTCACTGTAGCCTTCCTTAGACTCTTGAATCTGCCTAGTGTGTATCTTCTGACTAGAGGCACGCCTTGGCTAGATTGGAAATGCAGACAGAAGGTGCATTTACTGAGGTCGAGGTCTGTTTTTTATATTTAAGTCTCAACAGTTGATAATCATTCTTACATGTATTTTTTCTTCTTTCCTAAAACAGTGTTCACAGAGCAAAGTCTTTCAGTTGCTGTATGTACAGCTTAAAAATCTTACGAAATAGTCAGTCTGATGAAGTTCTGACAGAGCTCTGCTTTTGTGGTCATACGCACCATCGCCCAGAGCTTCTATTCTGAGTATACAGAGTTGCTGAATAAGTGGTTTAAAGTACTGGAGCTTTGGCTCCATGATCTGGCTCTCCTGCTTTTCGCAGCTTGTTCTCTGGGCATCTGAGGCATGCTAGCACGCTCCTGAATGTGGACTGGGGAGCTACCTTACAGAGGCTTCCCATCTTCATCTTTCAGTGCTTTTAGGATCACGTTTCTGTCGAGCTCAAGTTCATTTTTTTTTTTTCACTGATAAAACCTAAATACTGAAGTTATTTAATGTCTAATATAACTTCAGTACTACACTGGAGTTTTTATTAAGGTCGACAATGAAATCCATCCAGTTCTATGTGTTATTTTTTTCCCCTTATAGGATAGGCATCCCTCCAAAAGAGAACTCAGTCATCCGATTGGGTCTTTTTAGAGGAAAAAAAATCAATCAGGTTAAATATTTGGTGTTCATGCTTAACCTTACATCCTGAAGCGTACAGACAATCTGGTTCCTGTGAGAAGTAATGAATTCAGAGCTCATTATCCGAGTTGTTACAGCCATAGTATTTAACTTATAAACGAAATACTGTCCCCTTCAGCTAGTCACCTGAAGGATCACCTTTAGAAAATTCAAGGTACAATCATATAAGAGAACAGAGTACATTTTAAAATTTGGATTGGTGCTGAATAAATCATTCTATAGCCTCTTGTGATACTTGGAAGAGGTGCAATGAAGGCAGATCCGAATTGTCTTAGTATTTTTACTGCCTGTTATATATTTAATTAACTGTACTACCTCTTCTGCATTGTTTAAATGTATATTGGTATATATATGTACATGTGTGTGTATGTCTTGTTTTGACTTCCTGTGTTATGTCTGCTCATTAAATAAAAGTTTTGGAATACATAGTTTTCTGGGCTGTAATAAATATGGATGTGTAATGATATCAGATAATCAAAACAATGAAATAGCATCTTGTATTAAGCTACTTGAATAATTAGGTTCTCAGTACTATGATTTTATTTTAGTTACCCCCCCAAAAAAATCACCTCCTTTATAGGCTGAACAAACCTGACAGTTTCTCAGTCTTAAAGGTGTTTAGTCAGTCAACTCTTCTATAACACAACAGCCCATTTTTTGCCAGTTTTCTATGCTGCATGAATTTGATCATGTTGTGACTACAGTGTTAAGCTGGCAAGGTGACATCTCACACAAAGATTTTCCCAACAGAATTCATGAGCTAAAAATACATCTGAGTGTTTTTGTATAAGTAGCACAATAGTTCAAATAAAATTCCCGTAATGTAATTCTGCTTTGTTGCAAGTTCAACACTTGCCATTTATAACCTTCACAATTCCGAGTCAACTCTGTGTCAGCGCTGTTCTCCCACAGAGAAGCAGAGGACTATAATTTCTTCACATCAAGTCAATAATTCTGTTTTTGCTCCTTATCTGTTTGTACACATAGAACTGGAAGTTCTACTATGAACTACTTTAATTACTCAGGCCTGTTTAATTACTTTAATTACTCAGGCTAGTTCATCTCAACCAGGCATCAGCTTGAAATAAAAAGTGAGCAAGCTTTTAAGTAAGTTCAGTCCTTTTTTTTTTTTTTTGACAATAAAGAAGTTGTAGGTATTATATACAAAGTAAACAAACATCATCTATTGCCCCAGCTGTCATGAATGTTACCAAACAAACTAATCATATCTAGGGCTACTTCTATTCTTTCTATCTGAAATTAAAAAGAAAACTGACTCAGCAGTTTGTGGTAGAGCCACTGCTCCTTATTCACAAGGCGCTAATGTTTTGGGTTAAGTTTCCAAGGATGACCCTGTGCAGCGAAATACTTTCCAGGTTGATAGATACGTCTAACACTAAACAGCTGGCACAAAACCAGATCAATATTTCTAGAAACGCTCCCAAGTACTTTACCCCACCCAAAGCTTCGTTTGAAATAAGACAGCTCAGGTCTCTATGGGTTTTTTGTTTTCTCTGTACTCTTTGACATACAAGATACATATGTTGTAGCGCAACCCTGGAATCTGTTTTGAATCATTTGGAAAGCAATGATTGCAAGGCATTTGGTATAATAATGCTGAATATTAAGACAGATAACTTCCAGAATGAATATATCAGCAGGATTCAGCTTCCCAATAGATCTATGGTCAGTCTGATGCAGAAGAAGCCGGGTAGCTGTTGTCATCTTTGGTAAGGATTTCACAGTGAAATTTTACGTGATCTTTGCTGTGCAGCCAATGAAGTCAAAAGCAGAGCACAAAGCTGAAAAACAAGAACCGAGTCCTAAGGCCTTTCTCTTCCACTCATTAAAGGTACACAAGGCAAGTAATTAAAGAACTTCAGTGTCTCTAATCGGATCTGGTTTTATTCAGAAGGGACTGAACACCAGGCAAAGGGTCTTAAAATTTAGACTCAAAGTCAGTGTTTCCGCAAGACTTCCCAAGTCTCCTGGCGCTAACAGCGCAGCCGAAATGGTGCAGCTGGCGTTAATGCCCACGGTATTGCATCTGCCACGGGGTGCTCAGCGGTCACACAATGTACCAGGCCCGGTCCCAGCAGCTCTGCAGCTATAAGACATTGTGTAATACAGACTTGTAGGGTCAGGGTCGCAGACTTGTTTGGAGGAACACACTTGAAAGTAGAATTCCAAAAGCCACTGAGGATAAATAACTTTGATTTGATTTTTAAGTCACAGGAACCTGTATAATCATGCTGCCATCGATGGTCAACCATTTTCTTTCCTGCAATGGATGATCTGCAGTGCACAATACTAGCTGGAGGGGTAAGAGAAAGTCATAGCAAGACAGTGATAAATTGATTCCCCTTCAAATTAAATAAGACTTACTAGAAAAAGCACATTTAAATATTCTTCATTATTCCAGTACAGATTAATGCCTAATCATAACCTCACATTTATGTAACACCATTCATCCCAAAGTGCTTTACAATGACAAACAGTTAAAAATTCTTTTACCATTGAACTGCAGCCAACTCCAGGATGCAAAGCAGCTGCCAAGTAGACAGCATGCTGCAAGGACCATGGTAAGCATCATTCTGTAATGAAATTCAGTATGTGATCTCTATCAGTACAAACCAATATGTTGATTATTGAGGGAGGTTCAACTTGAAAGACACTCTCTCCTTACACAGCCTGGAATGCAGTTCATCCACTTCAAGCCAGCTGACAGATGGGTCACCTCTCTGAGGACAGAGTCCCAGGGCTTGAATCTGAGAGAGAGTCCTATGATAAGAGACAGAAATTACTAAGCTATCTTTGATTTTCTGCTCTTCTCTCCGGCATGCAAGAGTGGGCATGCTTTTTAAAGTCAAGTAAAGTAGCCATTTATTATAAATCACCCAATTACTGTGCCGTGAGAGGTCATTGTTACATATTTTATTACATTTGCAGTCTGTGTGGTTTCTGAAAGCATACCCCAAGGAACAGTGCGTATCCCAAGTAAACAGCCTTTGTGTGCTATTATTTGGATTAAGGGAGTGTCTACAGGCTAGCATAGCATACCAGCCACTGGTGCCTATTGTGCAAGAAACTGTACGAGCATAGCGACTTGTAGGCTCGGAGAACTCGCACTGTAAACAAAGCAGCCCAGGGATGGTAAGGGAACGGCATCACTGGCTCTATCAGAGATCAGAGGTAAAGCCCAAACTCTGTAAGCCTGAAAAGGAGCCTCCTTAGTTCCAAGGCTACAACAGAGAACCGAGCTGTGCCTGTTCCTGCAGCTATGGATCACTGCGTCCTATTCCAAGAGGCATTTGCAAGTCTATGAATAGATTCAGCTCTTCCAGCACACATACTCAATCATCTCATACTTAAAGCAAGGATCCTTCTCTATGCCAGTGTTTCTGGATTTCTGTTGCGTTATTAGGTGTTTCTCTTGCTCTAGCATACAAAGTGGATGTAGCCTCTAGCCAAATACCCGTAAGCAGCCTACAAAGAGAACAGGTTATTCCAAACCTGTATAGATACAGCATTCATAGAACCGAGAGGCGTGCTCTTCAATTTATGCAGTATACAAGAATGACAAGAGAGAAAAGCAGGATGCCTGCCTTGAACATCTCCTGTGAAATGAACTCCAAGTTGTTGATGCACCACCCAAAATTCCCTCTTCTCAGCAGGACATATCAACTATGCTGCTCTCTGCAAAAGCATCAGCATTTCCAAGCAGCTATTAGCCAGGGGGACATTTTAGCTGCTTTGCTGTCTGCAGTGTCTCTTGTCATCTTGCATGCATGACACAAGCTTAACAAAGTGAGTCTGCACTCTATCGATTTCTCATTAGAAAGCATGCCTCACATTTTGGACGGCAATGAGGGGAGAAAAAAAAAAAACAACAGGGAACAAAGCTGGTCAAATAGAAGCCAAACAAAATCTCTGGTGCTTCACTTCTTATGTCATCCGAATGCTGACAGCTTGATGTCTCTGGGTAATGCCACACAAGGGAAATTAGCACCATAGCACTCAGGCACTGCCATCTGCATGTCAACGTATGCAGAAATTTGTGCAGGCAGTTATAAAGCAAGACT